CAAATGGCATCGAGCAAAAAAGATGACGTGACACATTCTGAGTGGCCTCGGTATGGAGTCGGATATCCATAATTTTTCAGTTGATAGAAAGTCAAACCGGCAACCCGAAACGCGCGTGCACCTCATTACACCACACGCAGTCTTCCGCACGTGAAGCGTACGTGAAGCTGAAAAGCCAACCCATCCACATTCCATTGGTCCGCCGCCGCGCCTTCCCTCGCAACCACGAGCCCAACCGTTGGATCCTCATCAGACGTCTCCCACCATCCCACGTCCCCACGTGTCGACCGATAGGGATCGGTTGGTGAAGCCCTGAAATTTAAAATCTCGCTTAGTGGGCCCCGACCTGCTTCCTGGAAATTCACCTGCCGTGGTCGCTCCTCAAAGCAGCTGTGAAGGATCCTCGAAACAATCCTTTTCCTTCTTTATAAGCTGATCAGAAAACGCGAAAGAGAGAGAGAGAGGAGAGAGAGAAGATGGGGAGGCCAGAGAAGGAAGGAAGATGTAAGAAGCATCCGATTCACAAGAACTCAAATGGGGTTTGTCCCTACTGTCTTCGAGATAAGCTCGCCAATATCTCCGGCTCGTCGTCGTCGTCGACAAACAACGCTGGTTCTTCATCGTCTTCTGCCTCTTCGACTGCTTATTCCTCATACGACTCCGACGTCTCCTCCTCCGTCGCGTCTCCACCGAAACAGTACGAAGAGCGCAATAAAAAGAGAATTTTTCAGCTGTTGAAGGGGAGGAAGAGGACGTTGAAGAGTAGTGTTTCGTTTTCTTTATCTAAGGAAGTGGAGAAGGTGAGTGAGAAGGGAAAGGAGGAGAAGAGGAAGAGCAAGAATGGAGCTGGGAAGCTTTGGGCGAAGTTGGTGATGGGTGGAAAGGGTAAGAAGAATCAAGGGGAGGGTCGGTCGACGTTAGCTCATTCCATGACCGTTAAGGAGTCTTCTTCTTCTTCTAAGTGGACTTTCTTCTCTTAGGCGATTTCTATCTTCTTTTGATGGTAGAAATTTATAAGATTGTGATGAGAGAGTGTGTGGAGTGATTGGCATAGATTATTTGTATATAATTTAATTTGTTTAGCAATCCTTTACATATTTCTAGTGTTTTTATTCTTCCTGAGAATGGAAGAACAGATGAAGCTATGTAAATAAGAAATAAGAAGGCCATTGTTAGGTCCTACAGCTGCTTGGTTAGGGAATTAGGACCCTTTTGTTGCTTAGATTAGCAGTATTAATTATCTTTTAAAATGTTGGATTTTGATAGATTTATCATTTGTTTGGTCGTAATTATATGATTCTTTTTTTAATTGCTGGGGCTTAATCAGTTCTTTTTTCTTTTTTGTTTTTTTAAATCAGCCTGATAATTTTATTTGGATGAACTTTAAATCATCAGAGTATCAATGATGAATAAACAGTAATTATGTCTTTCTATAGTAATTACTACTAATATAGATGATTCACAGCCTAAAACTTATGTTTCATATGTTTTTTTTTTCCCTAACATGGCTTTGTGATAAGGAGAAGTAACAATAAAAAATAGGTCACATTTGCACCAAAAAATTATGGGATTTTTACATACATAACACCTAAAATCATTGTTATTACATATCTAACACCTAAACTATCATATTTAGTAGGTGGTATATAAGTAAATATGGTAGTTTAGGTGTTAGATATGTAATAACAATAGTTTTAAGTGTTATGTATGTAAAAATCCAAAATATTATATATTTTTTTGATTTTCTCATAATTGCATTAAGGGCTATTTGGGCTGTTGAGAAAGGGTGCAAAGTAAAAGGAATGCAAGGGATTTGTAAATTAAGGTATTTGGTGTGAAGAAAAAGAAGTATAGCGTCAAATTTTAGTGAATTCTTTTTTTCACCCACTAATTAATTTTTGATGTATTATAAACTCACCCAATTTTGACGGAATTCTTTTTTCACTGTATATTGATTATATTGTAGTCACCAGTAGCTTTATGTGGCTTACGGTCACTATTATTTGTCGTCGACTATTGTCATCCTCCCATTGGTAAATCTGTCATCGCTGAACTCCAACATCATTTTAATTTATATTGCATTTATTTTATTTTATGCTAAACAAAAAATATAATTGCCTTCATTCCTTTTATATGTTTTTACTATGCGTTTTTTTTTTAGCTAACCAAACTGTCCTTTAGAAAAATTATTTTTTAGAACATAAAATTAAAAATAATGTTGAATTTAAAACTTTCGATGAACAACACATATACTTTATTATTAAGATAGGTTAAGAAATGAGATAATAAAAGAAAGACATGATGAGAATATGGAGAGAAGCTTTGTAATTTTTTATTATAAAATTTATTTAACTTAAGAATGATTTCACGTGTCCTAAGCTTACCATCTAACCCTATTTACAACTGAGATAGAAACATAGATCTATAGAAAAATAGAATTATATATATATATATATATATATATATATATCACATTATGAGGCTTAATGAAGACTTGTCATAAAATGCAAATGCACTAGTTGCGGCTCTTTATGCATTAATACTAATTAGGAAATATGAGGTAAGTCCTTATAGAGTCATTGGCTAACTTCCTCTCCATTTGTTATAATTTTGTGAGTTGCAATGTTAAATTTTTTGATGAATATACTTAATTGGTCTCTGGGGTTGAGTACGTGGGTGAGTTGCTCATTTGTCACATGTGTTCTACTCGATGTAATTGACTCTTCAAGGTTACGATGACTTAGTCTTAGCAGTGATTTTACTTCATCAATGACTTATTCTAGTCGTCCTCACGATGCTAATCTTTGTCAAGTTTAATGTAATGGAGACTCTATATTGAACTTGATCTTGGAAGGCAGAGTTATTAGAGGTTCAACAAAAGCAATTTTGGGAGTACTTTTAGTCCCCCAATTGTACGTTTTATCTCTTTGAATAAATTTTAAAGAGTAAGGAAATAAAATATTGATTTGATTAATGGTTCTATTGCTCACAGGATTAATTTGACTTTGTTTTACTTATATAGTGTCAAAAACCAAATCAACTTTATAAATGTTTAGACTGACATGCATTAGGTTGATCAGCTATGCACAAATTAGTCTAACATGGCACAATCTACAAGGAATAATAATGACCAGAGTTATAGACTATGATGGTTTGACTAATAATGACTCATATCATAAATTAGGACGATAAAATTTTAGAAAACCCATCCAAATTGTTCCTTTAGGTAAGGATAAATACCTAGACTTGATAAGGCTATTTTATCATCATATCATATTTTGGCATGGTAGCTTTGTTTGGATAGAGGAAAGGTAGAAAGAACACCATCTAGTAAAAAAATGATAGTGAAAGACTGAAAGTAGGGGAACAATGAATCATATTATAATATTTGAGTTGTCTCCTACCTTCATTCTTTTTTTTTTTTGTACTTATCTTATTCTCCCCTCACCTCTATAAAATTGGCTTGAAAAACTCAAAGAATGATAATTGTAGCTGAAGAGATAGGTGGATAACTTATTACTTTAAAGATTGATGGTATGAGAAGGCTAATGGCTTCAAAGGACCAACAACAAGCCCTTAATACCAACACTTGAGTTGGGAGTCATATGACCATTTGCTATTAAATTATTCTTTAATGCTTCTATGTGTTTTCCTATCATCATCATGCTTTTTTAATAAAATGAACTTATCTATATATTAAACATGAAAGCTTTTGAATATTTTGTTTCATGAAAATGAGCTTTCAATTATGCATCATAAATTGTAATCCTGAAAACATGAAATGAGCATGAAAAATTAAATGATATGACATATTCATATGAGGAGTTTAGTGTTTGAAAGATTAAGATAAACTACATAATAGTGAGTTCAAGGGTTCGAGAGAGCTCACTTATGAAATGACAACATTTGATAAATTGAAAGAGTTCTCTCTTTAATGAGAATGTTCATAAATTCCGAGGTTCAAACTCATGAGGAAGCTACATCTAACGATTAAGTAATTGAAAATGGTGCTCTTTATACTAATGAGGAAGCGAATTCACAATTATTCCTTAGTTTATTATTAGCTCAAAAGAGAAGGGGTTGCAAAAGGGAAAATGAAGTAAAGAATAAAGTTTCATTGGGACAATATTTTTCTTATTTTTTAAAACAGTTTTTAAGTACAAAATTTTTTAGTTTAAAAAATTTTTATACTAAAAAACTACTTTAAAAATCAATAAAAAAATTATCTCAAACAAAGCCTAAATGAACCATTGTAGATTGAAGTTTTTATTTCTTTATGGGATTCATGCTTAATATGAATATAGATCAGCTTACTCATCTACATAATTTTTAACAAACTCAAGTTCATTTTAAGTAAATTTCAATTAAATTATGCACTCATATGAAGTGCGCATTCTATTCATAAGGAAATCAAGATTTGACAGCCTGGTTTTGTCTTGTCTGTCTTCTTCTCGTTGGCTGGTGTTAAATACTTGTATTTCTTTACAGATTTCATGCTAAAGTAATTAATTTGTCTTCCAAGTTGATCAAAGCTGCATTGGAGCAGTTGGCGAGTATAAGCATTAAAAACAGGCCAAACGGGACCACGGCATTGCAAGGAATATAATAATCAAGCATGGTGCATTACAAATCTAAAGATAATATAAATTATAAAGCTAAAGAAAAGTTGCAATCAACAGCTCATCGATTCTTCAACAAACACAAACCTAAATCGTATCATATATATGCTTAATTATTCTGTGCAGACCCCGAATGCCGTCTGGAGACCAACCAGAATGCATCACATCACCTCTATGCTCGATACCGTGGCTCAGTACCGTTGACGTGGCGCATTCTGGTTGATCTCCGAACAATATTCTGTGTCCGATCTCTGCACAGAATAATTTCTCCATATATAAGGAACAGTCAAAGACAACAACTTAAGAGAGTAGAAACTATAATCTGCTTGTATATAATTTATATCAAGTCAAGAACAACCGAGCACTATATATATATATATATATATCAAAATATTTAGTGATTTAAGACGACCTTACAATCGATAATGTCTCCCTCAGCAATCTAAACAAGAAAAAAAAAAGCCCGATGATGTTAAATACATAGATTGACATTCTTTTCGCCAGAAATTTCAAGCTCTTTGCCTTAAAACTTTGTAGTTACGGTCATTTAGCATATGTGAGAACATTCTGATCGTTTCTAAGATCATTGCGAGTAAAGCGCTGTAGTCACTCTTGCTGAATCTGCTCAAATTCAATCTGATTGATGAAACTGGTTACAAGGACATGCGAAGTAATGAAGTACTATCTGCTAGGCCCAGAACCTATAATATCCAAACCATCACCATCTTCATAGCTAAAATCACCATTCTGGTCTCTACTTGGACTCTGTTTGAGCCTCCGAAATACTTCATCTAGGAACTCAGACGAGGAGGTTTGGGAATGAAGCGAACTTTGCTGAATATGTCGTAGGGGAAAGAATTTCTTGGCTTCTATATTTGCTTTAAAGTTTTGAAGCCCAGATTTCATTGATGCCCACTTAGAGGAAAGTCCTGAAGCAACTGCGTTTCCATCAGAATGGTTTTGGTTATTATCGGGGTGGAGTAATGAGACTGAAGTTGATGGCACGCCCTTCTCTTTTGATGATCTTGCAAAGGATGAAGGCCTGCCCAGCTTTTCCCTTAGTGCTGCATATTTATTGGCCAAAGCCTCTCGACTATATAATTCATTCTTTTCTTTCTGAGTTGTTAGATTTCGTTTGGTGTCTTCCTTGGAGAGTCTTCCAGTACCTGTCCTCTCCGTAGTGCCCTTATCCTATGCACAGACAGTAGAGATCAGCGGCTCAAGAAAACAAACAAAGTTGCACAAGATCTGACCGAGCAAGGTTCACAAAATACTTCTAATAGTTCATGCAATTCGCATACAAGTAAGATTTCCAACCAATGTCTCATCTGGGTTATCTTTTGAACCATAAGGAAAATATTGCATAGGTAGCAAATAGCCTCAATACATTGCACGTTTTTTTTAGACTAAAGCTTTGTTTGTGACAACTTTTTTATTGCTTCTTAAAACAACTTTTCAGTACAAAAAATAAATTTTAATACTAAAAAACTGCTTTAAGAAGCAGTAAGAAAGTCGTTCATAACGAAACGTAAATATCTTATGTTTATGAATGTGATTTCACACGGTCCATCCAGCACCAGGAAGACACATTTAATCATCCAAATGATGAAGGATGGCTAACTGGCTTAGAGGTTTAATTAAATCTCACATGATACCAAAGGCCATAATATCTGCCAAAATCTACATTAAGAAAATTAAGGTTATCGTGACCATTCAAATTGAAAGGAATGCTTACCTGCGACATGCTAGATTCGAGATCCACGCTCATGTTATTGAAATTTCTTGCTAATGGTATAACTTGCTCCCCAAGTTTATGACCTTGTTCAAGCCAGGAACGCTCTGCATGGACAAGAGTGGCCTAAGAAATCAGTTGCTTTGCTTTACCATGCACTGAAAATATTAGGTATGCCACAACTTCCGGACACCCAGGACAACAAAATTTGAAGAGGTTGCTGTCAGGTAGGCCTAAGATATACTTGCAAATGCAATGCCTTAAATTTAAATCCTTGTATGAAACTGAGAATGTGCAGGAAAATAAGCTCAAAGTGTTCACATGATAGTTTATGTGACACGCTTGATTGGATGAGAAGACAAGGAGCTTTAGATTTTTATATGATTTTTTGGTTGGGGGAGGAAGGGATTGGAGGCAATAACAGTATCAGTATATAACAGCCAGAAATGGAAAATTTAACGCACTTGCCTTTTTGTAGGATAATAATCCCAGATGAATCAAACCCATTCATGTCAGCTTCTTCATTCTGAATCTTAAACATTTTCCAGCTCCCAAACAAGTCAATCACTCGACCAAAGAAGTTGCTAGCAACCAGAGCCGTATAAATAACCATAATAAGAGGATATATGTTATTAAAACCTTTACCAAAAAAAGGGACCGCATCATCAATATTGCCCATTCTCTGCATAATAAGTTTCAAAAGGTAAACATATTATACAAGTATAATTTCAAATTTTTATTCGGCGAAATATATAGAAGTTTATATCCTCTATTTTTATCATCAGATCTAATTATTATCAATCTTAATTAGGAGGCCAAAAAAATAATGAAGCACAATAGATGCCCGTAGCATTACCGAATCAGTTCCATTTTCACTGCATGCGCCTGGGCAGTTCGGGACCAGCTATGAAAATATTTATGCAAATAAAAGAATGAGAAGCCAATCGTTTCAAAAAAAAAAGAGCTACTCCTTTCATTGTTTTGATAAAAATTGCTCTCTTAACTGGATAAATAAATAGACATCAGCATCAAACCTGAAATCAACATATGGAATATAAAAGCATCCATACTAATTTAGTTTAGGCTGAAAAAAGACCATGGAGCAAAATTCAAACCTTCAAATAATAGATGACAGAACGTCTAAGCATAAAACCAGTGGCCTTGCAATCATAGTTTTTCATAACTAGTAACCAGAAAGAACGAGAAAGAAAATTCCAATAAATAACCAAAAAGACCAATAAGCACAGCTTATTGCTGCAAATGCTAAGAAATTGTGCATGAATTAATTATAAACTGGAAATAAGATCAAAATATGCAGAGTTTGAAAGTCTAATTGTCTCCTCCATCAGTTTGGGTTCTTAAGAGTAGTTAGCTGCATCAAATGATCCTCGGCACTAATGCTTGTTTTTGGTGTAGACATATGTAAAGGAATTGAAAAGTTGTGAAAATTTAAGATCAAGTTTTAAGAAGAAGAGGCAAATGGCGTACTTCAACAATGCAACACATAAGATTACCAAAAATTCTAGTGAAGTGGTGTATAACGAGCAAAAGAAAAATTAAGGCAAAGATAACATTTAACATCCATGCAAGTAGTACCAACAAATTAAGCTGAAATTAAATATGTTAAACAAAAAGGACAATCACCTTTTCAAAAACAGTTTTGTCATCACCATCAAGACGTATGAGATTCAGAAAATTATAAGAAATTGGAGGTGCATAACGTGCAACCATTCTGCCACAGAAAATAGACCATAAATGAGCTGTCCTTATATTTGATGAATGAAAACATGAGGAGATACTTACGAACAAATCATAAGCAAGCTCACTGAGCTTGTTTGTCTCGGTGTAAATGAATAAAACATGAGCATTCCAATCTTGAACAACGAATAGTACGTGCAAATACACATATACATAAGAGGAACAAATGCAGCTATCTGTAAAAGCATAAAGCATTAGTATCGATCACATCTGAAAATAAAACTTTTTTCGAAATAAAGTACAGAAGAGGAACCACGTTAGTTAAGCAAAAATATTTAAGCAAACACTTGAACCATTAAAAAGTACAAGTAGGTTTGACATTACATGAATGGAAATTATAATTGTTTTGCCGGCTTAGGAGTAAAAGAAAAAATCTACATAGTTAGCATAGGATAACAAGAGCATAAGAAACAAAGTTCCAAAAATGCATCTACATTATGATACGTCAACTGAACACGTCTTTTAAGGGCTCAACAGCCCAAATAAATATTGCATACCAATTGAAATATTGGTAATGAAAAAAATCAGGTACAAGCTTGTGAGTAATATGATACTATGCAGATTGCGCTTAGAGAAGGTTGTTCCTTGCCTGTTAACTTAGGGGTTATTTGGTTGCCTGAAAAAGGAATGCAGTATAAAAGCAATACTTTGGAACTAGTTGGATGAGTGAAAAAGGAATGTGGGATTTTACATTTTTTTATTTTGTCTGAAGTAAAATGAATGATATGTAAATTATAAAAAGTTTTTTTTTTAATGTAAATTATAACAAGGTTGTGACCGGGTTGGTTGGTGGCTAGTGTTGGGTGGTAACAGTGAGGCAGAAGAGGGGAGGCGGCGACAGGTGACCTGCGGCGACGGCCGGCCAGAGGACGGTGGCGGAAGGTAGCAGGTGGTGGCAACCGTGGGTGGTCAAGAAAGCACTTAAGCAGTGTAAAGCGTTCTCACTCAAATTGGATGAGACCATTTTACCTAAAAAATGAACTAAAATGGAATACACATTATTTACTTCACTTTATCATGGATTTGCTTTTCATCCAATCAAACAACAAAAAGTAAAAAAGTAATACATTTACTTGCATTTACTTCTCTTCCAACCAAACAGCCCCTTAGCGAAAGATTGAGTTCAGAGTCATGAAAAGCTACCCCTAAAAAGAATCATATACATAAAATGGGCGACTAGATTAAACCAATTGTGGCAGAATATGTAATGGGTCAAATAAAAATCATCCATTCATTCATATTTCAAGCATGGCCAAAGTCATAATATCCCTCATTAATCCCTATTTACGTTTGCCACCACCATAAATTAAGTTTGGTTGGAGATTTCAAAACAAGAAGCTCTTCGCATCTATGGTTCAAATTGGAAACAATGAACCCAAAAAATACATCAAAGAAAATTCTACTAAGAGTTAATGCAGTGAGAAACAACATCCTAGAACAGACTCCTCCATGCAGATTGAAGTCTGTTAGACCGGTCCAGCGGTCCACACGGACCGGTCAAGGCGGAGAACGGCGAGAACGTTCTCGCCTCTTCCGTCAGCGCCGCACTCGCAAAAGCTCCCGGGAGCGTTTTAGAGGATTTGTTTAGGGTTTAAGAGAGAATTTTGAATGTAGGGATTGTTTGAGGAATTCCTTTTGATTGTATAGCATGTTAAATGTTGGTTTTCCTTAGGGTTT